GCAGCTGCTGGCCACTCACGTGGGCTGCTGGCTACATACAGTAGCCCATGGCAACCCACTGTCACAGGGGCTGCAGCCGCGGTCCAGCTCCAGGTCGAGCTGTTGTTCACCATCTTAGCTGTAGAGGGTGCAGCGTCACTGGCCCTCATGTGGGATCCGAACTGGGGCCCTGCTACTCAGAGCTGGTGTCCCAAGCCAACTCCTAACCAACGCGCCAGTCAGTCAGCCCTGTTCGTTCATTTTTTTATTCAGTGGTTGCGAGTGTCTGAGTGCTTCCTAAAAAGCAGCAGATGAGGGGAGAGATACAGGTATAATCATTAACCACTATGAGAGACTTACTAAGGGCCAGGCACCTATCCTATAAAGTATAGGAGACACAACAGAAAAAGTCAGTATGCTCCCCATCTTCATTATGTTTATATACTGGAGTTCCCAGTCTATGAAGTTAGCAATGAAGTATAATTAAGCGCTATGATAGGAATACTATTATAACACAGATGGGGTAGAATGTGCAGGTAACAGACAGCAACTAAAAGGTTGTATGGTCAAAAATTTATATTCCCTAAAATCAGTGGCACATTCTAAATAATACAGAATGTTTTCCTTATATAACATTCCCACAGTGTTTCTATCATTTTAATTCAAGGGTTCTCAAACTTCAGTATGCATCAGAATCACCTGGAGGGCTTATTAAACTAGAACGCTGTGTCCCAGGCCCCAGTGTGGGATTTGCATTTCTAACAAGTTACCAGGTGATGTTGGTATTGCTGGTCTGGGGACCACACTTTGAAAAATCACTGGTTTGGTATAAAGATATACTACTTCAAAGTATTCTGCAAATCTGTAACTTTAACAGTTTTTAAAAAAGCGTAGGCTAAGTCCAGCTGTGAAGTACATAGATGAAGGAAAGTTACTTTGACCCTGACAGACTTCCTAAGAGCTCAGAGTTGCAAACACAAGGCTTCTTGTTTAATAAAAAGTCCAATTTCAGATGTTATAGTATGTAGTGAGCTAACTGACCCACTTATGTTTAAGAGCACACACTCCCTTGCTCTCTGACAATTAAAACTGCTAATTATGTTGTAAATATTCTTAACTAAACCTTTACTCCTATGAGAACCGTAAATGGCAGTGCTCTTCACATACCTATGTTTCAATGCTTGGAATAGAAAACAAATTTGACCTTACAATTAACAGACTAAATGCTTCATTCAACATCTTATTTGTTTGCTGTTTTACTGGTGGTATATCCTGATCTCCACCCTTTCCCACCTACTGCTAATATTAACTTTTCTAGTCACTAGTTTTGAGCCTACCAACTCTGAATACATCTCTTCTTGAGTTTCCAGGCTGGAAAACTGGGCACTCAATCCTCAAAAGTTCTAAAGGAACAAAGATGCCACATTTTTAATCTGAAAACATCACTGAGTAGCTTCTAAAAACGTGGAACCAATTACATACTTCATTTTATCTATGTCCCTCAGTGTTTATTAATTGCTCCTAGTTAGGCCCTTCAGCTGTATTTTACCACTTTCCAGGAACTTTACTTGGTTAGTACAAGACTCAAAGTCTATTAATCTGTTGTACTCTTATAGGGATTAGGGCTGCAAAAATTGTATCCAGTAGAAAGATTTGTTTACATGCAATGTAATACACCCAGTGAATTTAAGGCCTTTTTCTAACATGGATCCTTCTGTATTCTGAACGAATCAGATCTTAATTAGAATCCCTTTGTCCAATTTATCTCACAATTTAAAACAATATTAAAGCATTTTAGAGAGTTCAGGGAACAATGATTTAAATAAAACTGAGAATCGAAAAAAGAATCAGGGGGGCCGGCCAAGTGGCGTGATGGTTAAGAACTGGCTTGGGACACCAGAGGGCCCCGGTTCGGATCCCACATATGAGGGCAAGTGACACTGCCCTTCACAGCTAAGATGCTGAACAACAGCTCAACCTGGAGCTGGGCTGCCGAGAGTCGCCTGCGACGGCGTAGGCTGCAGCCCCTGTGGCAGTGGGTTGCCATGGGCTACCGTGTGTAGCCAGCAGCCAGCGTGAGTGGCCAGCAGCCGCAGTGAGCCGTCCAGAAGCCGGCGACTGATCTGCCTCACCCGGGAAGAGCGCAATGATGGTGCCAACTTGGGCCAGTGAAGCAACGTCCTCCACAACTAGACTGAAGAACAAAAAAACGACAGCAACTTGTCTGTTCCCCTTCCCCAGCAATGTTCCCATCCCCCAATCCCCCCCCAAAAAAAAAAAGAAAAAAAAAGAAAAAAGAATCAGGGGAGGTTAGCCTAGAAAGCAAAAGACTAAGAGGCAACTTGAAATCTTCAAGAAAGGTAATCTTCACAACACAGGGAATAGAGTCAAGGGAATTGTAACAGCTATATACGATGTCAGAGGGGTAGTAGATTGGGAGAGGGGAGGTTATCCCTTTGTGAGGGGTATAAATGTCTATTACATTGTTTTGTACACCTGAGACTAATAAAGAAAAGAAAAGAAATGTCATCTTCCATGTTTGGAACAGGACTGAACATTTATTTAATGCCTATTATGCATCAAATACTGCACAAATATTACCCCACTTAGCCTAAAAAATAACTCAGAGAAGTAGCTGGTACTATCTCCATTTTACAATTGAGGAAACTGAAACTCAGAAGTTAAACTGATAAATCATGAACTATTAAAGTATCAGAATAAAGGTTAAATAAAACCCAGGCTTTCTCTAACTTCCAACATCATGCTTTTATTATTGCCTCTCAATGAGGGGTTTGTGTGTTGTAGGGGTGGGGTGGCGGACTTGCTTTAAACAAGAAAAAGCTTATTTTGTAAAATTTTGGGAAATCCAGTTTATAACCTCAGACACTGTCATGCTGAAAGGGCTAAAAATGAAAGTGCTCTGCAGGAGCCTCAGATGTTCGGGTATTTTTCCCCCCAATTCTCTATTTCTCTCCTTGGTCTCACTTCTCTTGGGAGAGCTAAGAGTAGGCTATAATGGGAAGAAAAAAAATCAAGAAGAAGCTTCTTAAAAATGGCTTACTCTAGGGCAAAAGTACTTTCTAGACAACCTTTTTGAAACTAACTCCTTTAAGTGATCTCTGCCTGGGCCTCTAGAGACCTTGGATGTCCCAAGAGCCAA